ATACTTGAATTTTAATGAATACCAAATAATTTTGGGATTAAAAAATTCAGCGTTCAGTTTTCGGTACTTAATTTTCAGTTTTATCAAACACCTCTTAAGTCTCCTACTAAAACAAAAACTACTGTCTTATTGAAATTTTAAAAAAGTTTCATAATCATACTCTTAAATTACTCTCCAATTCAAACTCTATAATAATTTCATAATCAAACTCTAACTAATATTCCTAGTCGAACAAACAAATAATCTCTTCAATTTAAGCTTATACAGTTCCTTTTCTGTCTCCATCAATGATAGAGTAGGGAATGACTTTTTGGTTGTGGCTTAGCACTTAGGTTGCCTTACACACACTAAGGGGAGCAAGGGGAGAATTTCAATATTGTGGTAATTGAAACAGCTCCTTAGAAAGTCTCATAATAGTGAGGCTGTCATTGGCAAGTATGAATGGCCATTTCATTGTAGGTCCTCCCTGGGGGCCACATCCTGGGGGTTTGTATTCTTTTCTTTTTTTTTTCAAATTAGGCGAGGAGAGAGGAGGCTGCAGAAAACCTTGTAGGGCTTTATGACTAATACTGTCTTTATAATATGTATCCTACGGTTAAACACAAATAAAAGTCCATATTGTATTTTTCTTTTTGATTTGGGGAGGTGGGAAGGAATTTATTAGGGTTGCATACCTATTGAGTTCGTAAGTAGCGTGTTGGTATTTGTAGTTTTTAAACTGAACTGCGTGAAGTTTTTCAAAACGGAACTTCATCATAGGTTGTGAAACTGAATTGTAAACTCTCAGCTATGCTTTTTTTTTTTCCTGATTTTAACACTAGCTTTTATGATGGTTGAGCTCATGAGTTTTTGGCCATAGAAACAAGATGGGTGTGGGCATGATGCCTTGGGCTGTGGTTGGTCCAAGATTTTCAAATATCCAACCTTAAAAATATAGCAATATATTGTTAATGAAGTACACGCGTATTAGGCTTTTTTGTAAAGCCTTTATTGGCCTTAGATACTTTAGTTAAATCCTAGCCACTCCCCTTTTCCCAACCTTAATCTCATGACTTTAAGACTAGTTGTTCCACATTACTTAGAAACTCCTAAACACTTGGCTGTTAGTTCTTGGGATTTCTCTGGGACACCAAAGATTTTTGTAGGGAAACATAAAGATCAGTGTTGTGCTGTTTGTATGTAAAGTTTGATGATATTCAAACCCAAGGAAGATACATGTTCTTAGTATACATGGAGGGCCATATTTATACAAATTCTTTTGATAGGTAGAGTCATCACAATACATTGAAATATCAGAGTTTGACATTATGTAGATGCATACTTTCATATGCCATGTCTTTGCCTTGTCAATTTTCATGTCAACACTGCTTAGGTTTATGGTTGCTTTCTTTTCTATGACTAAATTGCACATTCATAGATCCAAATCAAATGCAATAGTTTTTGTACCCTCACCTTATCCTGACTCTTGAGGCCATTCCTCTTTATGGTCTCCATAAATTGAGGGATGATGGGAGACTGGATTGGGTATGTAGATAACGCTAACCCTATAATCATGTGCACAAAGTGGCTGTCCATAGATTGAATATCAATTCTTTTGTGGTTGCAGGTTTCACTAGATAGAGTAGAACAGTTTATTCAGGCAGTTGCCGTTTATGAAGACCAAATATTTCAAAAGCGCGCCCGTGTACAACAGGTATTCTTTGCCTACTCTCTCTCTCTCTCTCTCTCTCTCTCTCTCTCTTCTGATAAGAATGCTTTTGTTGTTTCTGTGACCACAGATACGTGGGAAGGAAAGAGACTTCTTTTTTTTGATGTATTTCAACCTCTAGATGTGCCATATTTTATTTTTGCTATAGTTGTTGTTTGCTGTCACTTCCTGTACTACTAATATTATTGCTATTGGCATTAGTGGTAGCTGGATTGCAGATGGTGCAGCATAAGGCCACATATAGTAGTGCTTCTGTTATTGGAGATTGTGTGAGAGAATACATTTGTTTGTATGAAACTTATTTTCTGCTGCTTTTTTTTGGAGCTTCTTATATTCAAGTAAATTTCTTCTAGCACATACAGTTAGAAATCAAGATATCAAGCAGTACTCCTAACTACTACTCTTCGCTCTTTTTGATGAATTTGATATTTGGCCGTAGTTGTTAAATTGGGATTCATATCGAAAAATGAAATACGAGATATCTCTCTGAGAGAGAAATGTGGGTTTCCTGAACTGAGAATCGAATTGAATTGGTAATTGTTTTTCTGAATTGAATTGGTTATGGTAAGAATCATCAAATTCACAAATTGACATTCTTTTTCAAATTTTGAAAAAGAAAGTTATGCCTGCGAACATAGTGTTGCAAAAGTACAGCAGGTAGAAGATTTTACACCACAGATTAAATATTTCTTTTCCACTTCTTTGTAAACTGTGTTGTAAGGCATTTTATATTTCCCAAGTTTGGTTTTTGGTTTGAAATATAAGCATCTATAATCAAGATTTTAGCGAAAACTTTGTACATTCTATAACCTGATAAAAGAGTCCGAATAACTCAAAATTTAGATTTGCATCCTAGTTCTCCCTCTTGTGGACGCATAGAATGATCAAATTTGAGCAATTGTAAAATCGATAATGTTTGAGCAATTGTGAAATCAACAATGTCTTATAATTTTTGGACATGCAGGATGAAATAGCAGGCCCAAGATTTTGAGGTTTGAGGTTTTTCCATGCTCTAGTGTGCAATGTAAATTCACAAACGGCTCTGTATAAACTGTATTAATAGATCATTTTACTTTTATATGCAGGGATTCCATTGCTTATGCATGTTTGTTCATTTTCAAATCCACTGAAAGTCAGTAAACTGAGTTTTAAAATTTCTTGTTTGTATTTTTGGTGCTATATGTGTATATTCTATTGGTTTTTTTAAAACTGGTTGCGAGATGGTGAGTGATACTTCGCTTTACTGTGTTCCTATAAAGAATTTGAAAGGTTTCATTTTGGAAATAAGTTAGTTTTACATATGGGAAATTGTCTCAACTTCTTGTTTAATTGGCTTTGCATAAAAAAAAATAATTTATGCTTCAATTATTCCAAGCCGACTGAATTCATTATGCTGAATTTAAAGAATTGAGGATATTCCAAGGAGTAGTTATAATAGGGACAGCCAGTTGTCATGTCTTGAATGGCTGTTTGCTGATTTTTAATGTGTTACCTGATAAGAATTGTCAAATTTTGCTGTTCCTAAGCAGCAGCCTCTATTCAAACACCATGCAAAGCTGTATCATTTACCGTGTCTGTGATACTTAGGTTCATCTTGTTAGTGTAAACTTAGGTCAAATTAAAAAGAAGAAAGAGGAAAAGAATTCTATTGTTGCCCACCCATAATACAATCATGATAAATAGGGGCAAGAGACAATATAAGCAAACCCTACAAGAAGAAAAAAGTCTAGACTACCCCTAATCACAAATACATATAAATATAATCTTAAAACCTCCATGAAACTCATGATGTTACGCAGGTAAGGAAATGGTCGTAACCTGAAAAAGATGGTGTTGTACGAAATGACAGTCAAGCTTGGTGTGCTTTGTATGCTTATGAAAAATATAATTGTGTGCAATTTGAATAACATTTGTTGTCACAACATAGGAGTAGGAGTAGAAAATGAAATTCCTAGGTCGACAAGCAATCCTCTCAACCAACATATCTCTAACATAGTGGATCTATGATCTATTGTATTACCTAATGAGAAAAAAATAAATGTCCAAGGAAAGAGTGGAAGAAAACAACATATTATAATTTTCTGATTGCGGCTTATGTAGTGGTCGGCCTTCCTGCAAGAATGCCTCCTTGGTCGAAGAAGTCCCAAAACTAGTAAGGGCGCAGGAAGTCAAAAAAATTTGTGCGAAGGACGTTTTCTTCTCTATCCTCTCCTCATCAAAGGCCAAGGGAGAGGCGTCATCCCTTTCCTTCGATAGCTCTTTTGCTTTTCCAAGGATATCGGTAGCTAGGGCAAAGCTTGCTTTGGCGACCTAGAATCTTTAGTAGGGGCCTTTAGTTTGTTGATTAGAGTAGGAGTCGCAAGAGAGCAAAGCGTACTGCCCTGCCATAGTCGCGAGTCTGTTTATAGTCGCGACTGTTGTCATAGTCAACAAGGTTCAAATTGCAAGAAAAAATTTTGAATTGGGAGGACTATCATCCTGGTGAATTGACCGTACCCCAAACCTACACCGGTGAACAAGTAGAGAATACTAGGGTGCTTGAGCGTTGTCTGAGAGCTGGAATGAAATACGAGGCGAGCGCGAGTTACTCCTCTTGGTCAAAGTTCATAGGACTCGCCTTGGAATTCAAAAGAGAGTTTGTTCTCGCCAACCCACGAACATGGGAGTCTCTTTTTTCCCTCCTTCAAAGAAAACAGTAGTACAACCCTCGATGAAATCAGTATTTTTACAAAGGTTGCATGCAATGGCTAGGAGAGCTATTGGGGGCTTCTTCCTATATGAAGACATAAGCTTTTATGCAGTTCATAACAATCTATACTACTACCAGCCCATGTTTATGCTGTAGCATTTTGTGGTGTGGGCTTCAAAGGCCCTTCATAGTTTGAGATGTGCACTATCACTAGAGTAGAGGAAAAGGATTAGAGTGCAGGCTATGGATGAATACTATTTCGTTATTGTAGCATATGTAAAGAAAGGTTGATTTTTCTTAATGAAAATGGTTACACTAAATTTTATTGGGCATGGTAAACTTTAGATGATTGTAATATACTATATGAAATTATAAATGTTTGGCGGCAATAATCTTATCTGATGTTTTGATTTTAGTATAATTAAAACTTACTGTGAAGTTAGGAGTCATAGTGTAATTGATGTTTCAAGGAGAAAGTACAAAGTGGAATAAATTTCTTTATTACAATATAATCAAGTAAGAAACATAAAAAATCATCCTGGTGCACAGCAAAAGCTATAAATTACATCAATAATACTAAAAGAAAGTTATTTTCTGTTTCAGGCGCAGGAGAACAATGAAGATATTAAGCTTAAATCAAGAAGAGAGGGATGTGAAGAGCCACTGGCTCCAATTGTGGACAAGGTTTGTTGACTTCTGCCAAAAAATAATCTGCGGTAGTTTGTCAATTTAAGATGGTAAATTCAGATCTTGGAAACTGCAATAGTACAATTGCATAGGTTGTATCTAAACCATAAATGAAATGTTAGTTGCTTTTTTGTCAGCTTTTTTTAGGCAATCATTGATTTGGTGAACCTTTTTCAGCCATCACATTTCTATTATAAGAATTGAATTTATGATTCATGAAGCTTTCTAGCCTTAAGGAGCCATCTTTCTTGAAGGTTCTGAATATAGAATATGCTAGGATGTAACCGTTTCTTGGGATAATGGTTGGGACGCTGATGTGCCTAGGGGGAGACTATTGAAGGCCATTGGAATACTACCCTAGTTTACCTGTCCTCCTTTTGGTTATTCTGTGGGTCCAACTCTTCATGATATGGGGGGCTGGTGATTGATTTAGGATCTCTTTTGGTAAGATTTGTGGTGGGAGATCGCCCTTTTAAAGATGTTGTCTTGCTTGATTTCACTTTGAAGACTTAATGGTTACATTTCCTTCTCTGCTGCTGTTTTAATTGTTTCCACTTCTTGGAACCTTAAACTGACTCAGGAATCTTGATGTTGCCCATTTTTTACTCGGGAGCTGTTTATTGTTTGGTAAGAGACAATAATTTTCGTTAAAGATAGGAAGAAGTGCAAGGAAGGTGGACAGGAATCCATCCAAAGCACAAATAAAAAAATAAGAGCTAAGATTACAATAGAGAACCATCCCCTTTAACTAATGCTGCTCAGACCGAAACGGAAAGAAAAAATATATACTACACTCCATTTTTGATATATAATATTGAAGCCAGCACATATAAAAACGCCAAGAACTTTACTCTTTCCCAAAGAATCTCCTCATACTCCATTTTTTTGTCAGTTTTTACTATTTCTTTCCATCCAAACTGCCTAAAGAATCAGCATAATAATACAATTAATTGAAGTCTACTTATCCTTCCTAAAACCTCTATAATTTCCCTACAACAAGGAAACACAATATCATGGGACTACCCAATCCACCATTGCCTCCGTGAAAACCTTGTACCAAAAATTTAACAAAATGGAGCAATGAAACAAATTTGAAATTTGCACTGCAACTCATAAAGAGGCGAGCATTTGGCTTTCTGCTTGGATCAAATCAGAGGCATTTACAATATTCCATGCAAAAACGAGTACCTTTACAGACACTTAAGCCTTCCAAATTATCAAAGAGGACACAAAAATGGAGGATAGTGGATCATCGATTAATGAAGGGAAGAATGGTTTGTGAGAAAATATACCTGAAGAATCAAGAATCCAGAACCTTTTATCAGAATTTGGTGACTACAAAGCTACCTATTCGATGGAAAACAACAATGATGAAGTTCCCCGATTTTCATATCATTCAAATTTCTTTAAAAATAAAAATTCCACCCAACCTGCATATGCAATGAGGAAGGCAGACTAGCAACAAAAATATTATGAGACTTGGACAATCTGAAGAGCCTTAGAAAAACAAATTAAAAGAAGATTCTCCTTGCGATAAGTGTCCCCAAAAATTAATTTTCCCCCAATGTGACTTGTAGTGAAACAGCTTAAACATTGGGAAATAAATTTCCAAGCAGTTTGAAAAGGGCCCCTAAGCACCACGTTTGAGTCCCAATCCATTGGACTTAAGTTCTTATTTCCTTTTCAGAATTGAAGGCTACAATGGATTATATTCCAATTGAAACTTCCTCAACCACTATCCCGGCGAAGCGATATTTCTCCAAACCAAATTCCCCATTGCTAATCCCACTCTCATTTTTGGTTTAGGCTAACATTCCAACTGATTATATGAGCCATTGAAGACTAGTTTGGTCCAGGAGACTACCCTTACTACGTTAAACTCGCGGTTTACTTCACTCTTCTCAAAATGGTCTTTCCAATTAACTTGTGTTTTAGTTCCAAAAAAAAAAAAATTGCTTTTCTTTTACTGATTGGACACCATTTAACCCCTATTAATCTCCGCTTTTAAAAGTTGTGTCAAATAAGACTTTAAAAAAAAACTAATTATTTCTTTGTCACATGCCCTTTGTCCTCATAACAGAACCCTTTCCTTGTCCTATTATGTTTTGTCGTTCCTCTTTGATCTTAGGTAAGTGATGGTGGTTTCTTGAAGCAGGATGCTCCACTACATGTTGGATACGGATACAAATACAAATAAGGGCATGGGCAGATATGTCTTGGATATTTTAAAAGTATTTTCAATTTTGGATATGGTTTGAAAACACCAAGGAGATATGATGGATACAGGGGGTATGTGTGTGTGTTTTGGGGCCATCTTATTTTTTTTGAAACTAAAAAGGGTCATTGAGGTAAATAAAATAGGTACTTATTTGAAGTAAAAATTTGGGAATTCTTGTTCAAGCCTCTTTTATAGCTTTACAATTGAATTTCAAAATTGGACACATCTAGGAAGTGAAAGCATGTGACCAAGTTTATTATCTTTGATGGATTGTTATTTATTTGGCGTTTGAGATGAGTTGCCAATTGAACTGCCTGGGTAATGAAGTATATACAATTTATGCTCAATTAGGATTTGTGGATTTGTTTAATGTATCCTGTTTTTGAACAGGAACAAAGTAAATATTTAGTTGATCTTTTTTCGTGTGTTCATATTTTTTTTTTCTCATCACCATATTTGTATCGTTTCATATTTATATCTCGCATTAGTACTTCTTAGATTTGCATTCTTTGTCCCCTCTCGCTCCTATCTCTTCTTGAAGGAGACTTGAATAAACTTTAATTGCTATTGTATTAGGTATCCTTGCCACTTTAGTGTTGTGGTCATTTTGGCTAGCACAATAGAGATTCTTTCTATCTCTCTAGGTTGTGGGGTAGTAGCTATGTCATGGACGGAGAAATTCTGACCTAAATGAAGTATTTTTTCAATTTTTCTGTTTTGCACTAGAAGCTGTTAGTTGGTTTCTATCGGGTGACATTAGTTAGTATTTTTCTTGTATGGTTGGATGAAAGTTGAACTGTGAGCACCAGTTGATGAGGCATGTGGTTCATCTATTAGGAGTCTCGGCAACAAATTAAATGTCTTTCATACCCTCCATGAGTGTCTGTTTTAGCATAGTGGAATTCATTATAATGTTTTGTCAGTGATGTTTTTTCTTGGCCTTTTTGGAAGCATAACTTGCACTTCTTTGTTAACGTCCTTGCACTCTACAATTAATATTTGTTTTTCTAATATAAATTATGATAATAATATTGGTATATCCTTCAAACTGATTTGATCGTTTTAGCTTATGCCTTTCCCTTCGAGTTTAAGAAATTTATATCATTATCTCTTCAATGATAAGATTGATATTCTCATCAATCTGTTGTCTAAAAGCATCAAATTTTGTTCTTCCATTAGCTAATTTTTGTGGGAACTTTCGTGTGTTTTTTGTTTAATGACTTGTATTCAGGGTCAACTTTTTCCTTCCTAGCTTTTTCGGGAAAGTTCTTTTTGGCTCCTAACTGGTTATAATTGTGGGTACATGGTGTTGCGGAGCCCTTTTTTGCCGCTTTTCTAATCACTTCTACTCAAAAATTGTGAGCAACGTTTCTGGTTCTGTTACCCAAGGATCAAAATGTCGTGTCGACACGTCCGAAACGTTTCGGAATTTCAACACTCCGAAACGAAACAGTAGTTGAATCACAAAATTCCAGTGTTTCGGTCGAAACGGTACTGTTTCGGACCGTTTCGATCGAAACGGCATTGTTTCGAACCGTTTCGATCGAAACAGTACCTTTTCGACAAAACAGTGATATATTCGGTTCATTATGATTAATTATATTTAATACCCCATTATAATTACATTTAATATCCACTGTAATTACATTTAATACTTACTATAATTATATTTAATATCCCACTATAATTACATTTAATTCCCACTGCTCTTCTGTCTTTTATAATTTTTTTGTTATAAGAATAAATAATTACACTTAATACCCTACTATAATTATATTTAATACCCATTATAATTATATTTAATACATACTGTAATTATATTTAATACCTCACTGCTGTGCAAGTTTTTTGCTTTTTTTTTTTTGTTATAAGTATTAACAATTACATTTAATACCCTAATGTAATTATATTTAATACCTACTGTAATTACATTTAATACCCACTGCAATTACATTTAATTTTTAAGTATACATAAGTATCATTAATTTAATTTGATACCCTTCATTATTAGTATTATAATAAAATAGTATTATTAATTGGATTATATTACCGTAATAATATGATTTGGAGTAACTATTGTCATCATATTTATGTCACATATGGAGTTTCTCTAAGTAGCTACCCAGAGCCTACACCGATATATGAGCCTGCTCGACACTCCACAGGGGAATGGATGTAACCATGTAAGTATGTACTCATTAGCATTTCATGTGTATTATAAGACCTTAATATTATGTAAAAATGTGTTTATTTCATAAAAATTAAGTGTTTGAAACTAATTTAAGTGACTTTCGCCTCAAGTCAAGCCTTTTTTTCCCTCAAATTTAAATTTATTCTTGTATAAATTGATGTTAACCTAATAAATATGTTGAATTAATAAATTATTTAGCATATCTTTATAAATTAATGGATTGCATTTGTGTTTCTATGCGTTTCCATATTTTTTCTGCGTTTCCGAAATGTTTCCGAAACGTTTCTATTTTTGAGTTGACCGAAACGGTACTTCGAAACGAAATTTTGATCCTTGCTGTTACCTGCATGTCTCTTAATTTCTTTTAGGAGCACTGTTACCTTTGGAAAATAATTCATCTCTAAAAAATCTAGATTAACTGTTGATTCTCTGAAGTTTCTCACATTAAGTGATCGCGTGGTTGTCATTGAATGAACTAGTAATGATTGCAGCCTAAGTAAGATTGCCTACGTATTGGTATCTGTGAGGATTGACTTTTTTCTTTTAGTTGTGTGTAGTCTATCCTAAGGTCAATATCTTTTTGATTGAGGTTCATTGATCGTCATGGTGTCAAAGCATGAAAGAATCGTGTTTCATACTTTTCATACTTTCTATCTTGCACTCTTCTTTTGAATCTTCCTTTTTCCTTTTCTGAATAGAATTATATTGTGAACAATTTTGTCCCAGTATATGCAGAATTTCATTTTTTGGGGAGATGGCATGAGCCTCACAGGTTAAGGATGTGGAGAGGTCTATGTTGGCTAATCTCTTTTCCATCCTCTGATCTATTGTTTTGTCATGATAGATTGGTACAAAATCCTTTTATAAATGATTCAGTTTTCTTCAATTATTTGAAAATTCTTCTTCCTCCGTGCCTCTCTTCAGGATTAAAGGTTTTGAGACTGTTAGTATTTCAAAAACATTATTTCTAGGACACACATGCCATATGCTTAACATTATGAAAGATGTTAATAATGGAACAAGTATTCCTTACGTATTTCTTGTAATTTTTAATCTAGTTTGTGAACAATGGGAGTTCATTTGTGCTAGGATAGTGGAACCTTGGTTCATCTGCATATCTGCGTACATTTGAAATATACTTGAATGAGAGTGTCACAATTCTATCATGAATTTACCATTCTTTTTTTCCTCTCAGGTGAAATTAGGAGAGCCTGGATACAAAGAAAGGTATTATTCTGAGAAATTTGGTTTATCAAACCCGAAGGATATTGATAGAGTGAGGAAAGATACAGTAAGTTTCTTAATATTTTGCCCTAATATACATAGAAATGAGTTTAGTAATTGATTTAGTTTTTTAGTTTATATTAAAATTTCCCATGTATAATTTTGTTTTGTCCGTGTCTTGATCTTATCATGTTTGAACTAAAAGTGTATGCTAATTTTCAAGCCAAAAAATCACATGATAAATGGGCTACAGTTTGTTGATGATGTCTATCTCCCACCCCACCCTTCTGCTCTCTAGATTGGCTTCTTTAGTGTGCTGAGAATATCGGTGTTATTGATACTACAAGTCTCCAAATCTTGATGATGTGTCATACTTTATCAGATATCATACAAGGATTCCTCTTTTTAAGGTCATGGCTATATCGTATAGTAGTTGTAGGAGTTTTGCAAAGATCATTTCCCAGTTTGGTCTTCATTAATTAAGGGTGCTTGGAGGATGGACGGAGTGCAAAACTAACATTCGGCATAATTCACGCCAAATGGTTGGTCTGAGCTGTTACCTTTGTGTTAAGGAATGGGATACATTTTGAATTTTACATTATACGGGTTAGTTGAGGCATTGGAAAAACTTAAGCATCCTGTTGAAAAGTAGTTGATGAATATGAAATTATATTGAAGTAGGATATCATATGAGTCTCTTCGTATGTTATTTTTCGAAAGATGTTCCCAGGCACCCATTGCTATTTCCCCCTCTGAGATTTTGTTTTATGAAACTCCTTTTGGGTATATGTTTTAATTGTTTTGTTGTAATATTTATATAACTGATTATCCATTCTTAGGGAAAATTTGACATATGTATCCTTCTTCCTTTTCTCTTATTTATTTATTCATTTGGGCTGCGGATTGAGACAATGATTTTTACTCCCTGACGTTCCAGGTGTTTTACATGATTGTTGCCATCATCTTTATCTTGGAAGAGTGTGCATCAAAAAGACATATATGGCATATTGACAAATATATATAACAAATTTTTGTAAATGTTGTTAAATTGTTAATGCTGCACATTGTTGTTATACATAGTTTTTTTACTATTTTGGTCAGTCAATACCATCGAACTCCATAGTATGTGGAATGTTATTGTTAAAGTGGAAGTATGTGTTGCTGCGAGTTGTGGATGCACTAGATGATACATGTTGTCTTTGCAGGTGTTGAAGTATGTAGAAGGATTATGTTGGGTTTGCTGGTATTACTACCAAGGTGTATGCTCTTGGCTATGGTCAGTGCTATTCCTTTTAGACCGTAAAAACCTAACTAATACTTCCTTGTGCTTTGCTATTCCCCATGTTATCATTGATGTGTCTGAAGGGGCGCCTGGGACATTTTGTGGCCTAAAAATGGAAACAATAAATGAGGCTTTTTTTTTTTAATATTAATAATAAATTTATTTATTATTTGTTAAAATGAAAATATTAATTAATTTTTTATATTCAAGCTTTTGTTATCATAATTGAACTTGATGGTGAGAGGGAGGGAGAGAGGGAGAGAGAGAGAGAGAGAGAGAGAGATTATGATGGTAAGTTTGAACTTGACAATTAGTAGTTTTACTGTTAGCTGTTTTTTCTTTTTCAAAAAATTGAATTTTAGGGCCTTTTAATTTCATGGGCTGAATTAATAGGCCCAATTCACTCAAGTTGAAATATTTTGTTTGAGCTTAAATCTAAGCTTTTTGGGGGGCTTATTTCTTGTGGATTTAGATTTTTTATTTGGGCTATTACTAGACATCTAAAAATTATGGGGCCTTCCTTAAAGTGGGGCCAAAAGTCCAGACATTATTGGCCTAGTGATTGAGCAGCCCTGTGTGTTTGTGTATGGATTATGAATTTGAATGGAAGTGGGTATTAGCAAATACATACAGAAATTGGAGGAGCCTGCCGACCATGTGTTATTGTATTGTGGATTGGATGGGCACAATAGAAAATGTAGGAGCTTATGGGTAGAGGAAGAAGGAAAATGTTTCTTTGTTTCCTCAAAACTATGGGGAAACGTCTAAGAAATATGCAAGATCTGATCTTACTTCTATGATAGTTATGGCACCTAGGTTATTGGGATCACAAACAATTTCAGGATATGGGCTATGTAAAATAGATAAGGAGTTTGAGGTTTTATCATGAAGTTACATGGTATGTGGTTAGCTTCGTTTATTTTCAAAAAACTTCCATCTGTCTGATCATTGATGTTTGTTTCAGGTATTACCCATATCATTATGCTCCATTTGCTTCTGATTTCATAGATTTAGTGGATTTGGAAATAACTTTTTTCCCTGGAGAGCCATTTAAACCATTTGATCAGCTCATGGGAACCCTGCCTGCTGCAAGGTCCAGTGCTTTTATTTTATTTCCTCACAATTGGAAGTTATGCGAAATGATAATTAGTTAACCTCTTTGTTACTTAAATTTTTCTTTGGTTGATTCGTGGTGACATAAATTTATCCCTTCTTTGCTGCAGTGCAAGTGCTCTGCCTGAAAAATACAGAAGTTTAATGACTGATCCCTTGTCACCTATTTCTGAATTCTATCCTTCTGGTAATATCTATTGATTGTTGACGTTTCATTTCTCTCTCTCTCTTTCTCTCTCTCCAAAAATAATGGTCTTTTATATGGATAGATTTTGAAATTGACATGAACGGGAAGCGTTTTGCATGGCAGGTAGTCCATCTATAATTTCAGAGCATTTTTTTATTATTGCAGGTAGATTGGATTAGTGGTTTATTTTCTGAACTTTTGGTAATGACATTGGTTTTCTTCTGTAAAACCCCAGGGTGTTGCAAAATTGCCATTCATTGATGAGAAGAAATTGCTTGCTGAAACAAGGAAGCTTGAAGACACTTTAACGGTTCGAATATTTACCCTTTTTCTTTTCTGCCCATGTAATCAAAACTGTATATGCATAAGAAGAGAGCTATTAGACTGGTCAGAAAAAATGAAGTGAGCCATTAGCAATATAGAATCAAAGCAGTAGAAGCCAGCGCAATTGTAGGTAGGAGAGCCTTTTAACAAAGAAGATATTTAGACCACCAAGAAAGCCAAACAATACATGAGTTAGAGAGCTAAGAGGTCACTGTCTGCAGTAAAGCTGTTTGTGCTTTTTGCTTGAACATTGCAACTGATGGTGATGATATGAGGGGTTTTACCATGCAAGGGTTCAATTTTTGCGTTTGTATCTTGAGTCTCTTTGTTGGCATAAATAAGGCTTCGTGGCCCATGGGTCCATATTGTGATAAACATTCAGTTTGTGTTTTTAATGATACAGTTACCAAATTCTATCATATATGAAGATCTTTCGTTTTTGTCTTGGCAAAATTTCGTTATTTGGCTAACTATATAGTTTCTATTGTTGACCTTCGAGGCAAAAGGCCAAATTGATTCTCAGTTTTCTTCATTTCAAGGTTCTGTCTCTCACAAATTTCCACTGTATGTCTTAAAAATTTTAATACATTGATAATTTGTACAGATATGAATATCTCCCTTTATATATTTTCTAGAATACACTTCCTTAAATCATTCATTTTCATAGTTATAATATTATTAAATAATTTAGTTAGCTAACATATTGCGGCATCTTATAAATGTTTCCATGCCTCAATGGGAGTAAATTAGATTGTGAATGTCTAGGGTGTTTGGAATATAACAAAACCAATTTCCCCAAGCCATCTACAAAACCCGCTCTAAATCCCAAATCCCATTACCCAAATTCAAAACCCAAAAGCAAAATTTCAAAATATATCTAGTTTTAGAAGTGACCATCATCATATATAATCCACGGCTGTTGCAGTTGATTTTGGTCTATTTTCTTTGGATCCCCAGTTATTTTGGTTCCTGATGAAGGATCTAATCTTGTTCTTGAGGTAGACAAGCCTGTGGGCAGAGTGGTTGGTTTGGATATTCAGTTTGGTTTTGGATACTGCAAATTGACAGCCATTGTTGATCACAGAGGAAGAGCCTAAATAAGGGTAAAAGAATGACCCAACTTTCACCTTTTCCTCCCACTCTGCACCCCCTCCTCTGTGGTGGCTATAAAAATTGGCAGTGTAAAATTATGGTGGGCGCCAGTGGAGCCGTTACCCTCCAATTTTCCTGTCCATCCTAATTTCTATCTGAACTAAACAACTGAAATCTTTCTTTCCACTCTATTTTCCTCAATGCCAAACAGAGGCTTAGGTTGTACATTCCCTTCTTCCACATTGTCTTCTTATTTTCTGCTGCTTTCTCTTTTGATATAATCTTGGTTACTGTTTAGTCTCTGTATTATATGGGTACCGTTGTCTATCTTAAAAGCTAGTTTTTTTAAAAGAAATTTTATTGTTTTCTGCATACATTCATGAGCTGTTGAGGAATGTGTTTTTTTTTCCCTCAACAGACTTCTTGGATTAAAAAAAAATGCTATTTCCTAAATTTTTTTAAAAAATAGCTGTTGAGAGAATCAATTTTTTTTTGAAAGTTTACGACTTTTTCCTTTCAGGAAGCACAATGATCAAATCAGGTTGCCATTCCTCTAATTATCAAATAAAATGCTATTTTGGATTTTGTTATCCTCCTCTTTATTTGGAATTTTAGTTTGTTGGCTAATGATTCCCGGAAAAGTCAAATACTTAAGGCATTAACTGGTGCAAGATCTTAGAAAAGCATACCACAACACAGAACATCTGTAATGCACTATGTTCATCTATGATTTCGGGTTTGCAGGTGGAAGAGCAAGTACGGAACAGTGAGATGGGCAATTTGCTCTATGTCCATTCTCTTCATCCATTGGCTGCACAAATTTCCTTCTGCTACCATCATTATGATCGAATGCCCCCCAACCAAAATCTTTTATGGCCAATTAAACCAAGTGCTAGGTTGGTTTTGTGGCGAAATTTATTCTACTAGTTCTCATTTGTGATCTTTATCATAGACTGATCTTACAACCTTAATCTGTCACCGATGTTTGCCAGTGGTGGAATGAATGGATTCCTTTGGTTATGTGGGAGGAATGGGCAGAGAATGGTAATTCCTTCCCCAATCAGTGGATTGCAAGACATTAGGGCTAACCGAATTTTGTAAGTTCCATCTTCCTTAGTTGTTTTAACGTGCTTAGTTATCCTTCAATTCCTCAAGACGGTGTATTTTTGTTGTGTAGAAATGTTACCTTTGTGAATCCTCCACTTCATAATCACATTCCACAGCCTCCTGATGGAGTAGTTATGCCTAAAAAGGTATGTGACATGGGGCTCCTTGTACTCTAACAATTGTTCTTTAATAATTATTCTTGTGTGAGAAGTAAGGTGAGGAGATTCATTGATTTTTCTGTCAAGCTTTCATGTGTTCAATGAATGATGGATAGTGGGACTTAATGTTGATGGGGTCCCCTTCTGTGACTGTTATCCAGGTCTCATCGTGGCTGTTTGACCATTTTATAATCATATCTTAGTCCGCCAATCATTCCTTACTGTTCCTTAAGAACACACTGCCACTGACATTAGCTGCTTTCTGGCCGATAGATTTTTTTCATGGTTTATTAGATTAGAAGCACCAGCTGGGGGCACAAAAGGGAAAATAAAATGTTTGGACAAGTAATTGGACCTCCTTTCCTTAGCCAAACAATTTTTGATATATTTGGGAAGATACTTATTCAAATTCTGCGATTCTCAATTCACATCTTACGGTTGTATTCATTTCAATTCGACACCTTTTTGATACATATTGGTAAGTTGAGTCTCATTTGTAATGAATCTTTAAGAATCTATGTGATGCATGAGGGAATCACTTGGTAACCAATGAGTTAACAATTAAAAATTCCCCGATATAAAATTCCACCATGGGAAATTAACAAAATTCATTGTTGTGTAATGCTATAGTATTTCCTTTATTTTGAACACAGTTCTGCTTTTATTTTTTATCTTTGTTTTTGTTTACATCTGTAGCATATATGTGATATATTGGCAACCTCTGAATTTGGTACTTTTGATTCTCGTTCTGAAAACAAAGATTTTGTTTTGCGATATGATCCTTGATTTGATTACCATGCTTGGGAGTCATTGATCCAAGATTCATTTAAGATTACATTCATACATGTACGCTTATCCTCCCGTGGATATCATCCAGGATCCACCATGGGATGGAAGGCTCGTTTTGTCCTGCATTTGTGCATTGAGCATGGGTGCAGGTAATGCCAAAGTATTATATTTGAAGTTACATACTTCAGGATCTGGGTTGATGTGATGTACATTGTCTATGCATATGGTACGCAATGCTTCCGAATGGAGATCAACAATAGTTCTCCTTTGACATTTCCTGTGCAGGTTTTAAGGCCGTCTGACATAAAACCCTTCCCCCTGTTGTGGCATGAAGACAATGGTGGTCGGCGCCATCAAGGCAGAGATAGGTAAAAAAATGCCAGTTCACAGTGGTGTCCTCTCTCTCTCTCTCTCTCTCTCTCTCTGTGGGTCCTAAAAAGTGAACTTGTTCTTACAATGCTCCTTCAAGAGTGAATGCCAAAATGTCAAATCTGATTGTATGCAAATGCTTTTGTTAAGTTCGGATAAGCAGTTGGGAGTGGCTATTTTTGCTGCCAAACATGCTTATGTTCTCATGATAATCTTTGGCACGGGGAAGCATAATTCATGATCTCCTCTTCTACACTCATGAACTGAACTGAAGTCCTTTAGCCCGACTGATCCCAAGCACTGAACCACCAAACTCATTCACAACCATCACTAAAGAACTACTATGATGCCTTGAAAGGTGGCTTGTGGTTTTATCTGATCTGTGAATATAGCCACTATAAATGCCAGAGAAAACCATTAACCCCAGCCACCTTCAAACTCATTGTTCTGGATGAAACTATCGTTAAAACAACTCAACATGGTGATAAAAGCTTTGTCAGGCTCATAATGAGGGAGATCGATGTGAGGAATTGGGTGGTAGGTAGAATGAATTTGGTGATTTTAAGATTTTTGTGATAAAAATGTCACGAACTTGGATTTTGTGGGGGTGTAACAGCGTTAAGGATGTTACCTAATTGGGTTATGGTTTGACTCGGAAGGTAGCATTGTTTATGTAAAGTAGGTAGTCCACACCCCCCCCCCCCCCTACTTTTTTTTTCTCCCTCCTGCATTCCATGATTACTTCTGTACGTTTTCCTATGGTTATCATCTGCTGTGGAATATCCATGCAGACAAGGCTTTGGTGACCTGACCAGGTAACTTGACCAATGGGTATCTCTTTGAAGCAAGCAATTGACCATGAAGGTTATTTCCGCAAGAAAGATCCAATCTTTTTTTTTTTGTAGTACCAGTAAAGGCAAATCAGCTTTCATATTTAATGTGGACCATTGTCTCATTTAAGTGACAATTGGAAATAATAAACTCATTAAATCTATGTCTACTTCTCAGTTCTATGTTTCTGCATTTTATATGCACTGGATTTGAAGGATCTTATGGTCTGGTTTGTGACCTTAAGAAACTTAAATGGAGGTAAAATATAATGGGATGCCCGTAACCAGAGATTTTGAAGGTTGTATTTTTATTTTTTTTTTACTTTTTTGACAACAAAGAAAGAGGAAGATTATGATGAGGAAACCTTCACAAAAAAAATAATATAAAAAATGGAGACCAGAGAAAGCAAACTGGAAACTGAATGAACTAGAAGGATGGGCTTGAAGTGTTTATGGAGTACAGAAATCTGGTTGTAAAAAAACTTGGCGGTAAATATGGGGAATGAATAAGCATATTAGGCAGCATAAGTTACATTGTGACCCACCTCCCGCCTCTAAACCTTGTTTTGTATATTCTTGCCTTGGTGAAAAAAGGGGAGCCGAAACTGCTTGTTTTCAATAGTTTTGACTACAATGTTGGAAGGTATCACTTCCACCTCCACTACCACTACTACTATTGGTACTCTTTCATCACATTCATACAGTTATCTGTTATGTTGCTTCTGGTTTTCAGGCGACAAGTACCTGGTGCAATATCTGGGCCCATGTTGGGAGAAGCAGCGCATCGTCTGCTCAAGAACACACTGAATATCAAAACCAGTCAGACATCTTACAGATTGGTGGAGCAAACATCTCGAAATGCACAAGGCAACCATGTAATAAATAGGACAAGGCCAGCTGGATCATCTGGTTACGAAAAGAGCTTTTGTGAGGATCAAAGTTACTTATGTGGATATGACAACCCTCGAGGCATAATGCGTAGCCCTAGATTTGCCATCTCCCCATATGAGTTACAAAGCAACAGGCAGAATTTCAAGGCACAAGATAGATATCTACATCAAGAACAACATCACAAGTTAAGGAATGGAATGTCTGCTTTGACACTAGAATCTGGTGTTAGAACCCGGCCACATGCAGCATTGTCTCCAAGGATGCCAAACTCAGGACCATTACCGAACATGAATCACCAGTTTGATCAGAACATTCGTACCCCTCCACCCCCGCCTTCTGAGTGGATCAATAAGCCTGCAGCTGCATATAATGGGATATATTTTAGACAAGTAGAAACTTCATCAGCTGTAGGGAATGAGAAGCAAGTAAAGATGGTTTATCAGGTTAAGAGTCGATCACCCAACTTATCTCACCCTGAACCTCAGGGTTGATGTGGTCGAAGTTGACTTGGATTTGTTTTCACTTTGGGGTTGCCTAATATTACCTGTACAATTGGAGCTAGGTTCACCCAAGTGTTAGGGACCAATACACAGCTGCATCTGTCAATTTGGCACTGACAAGAAGCTCCTGATAACATCTAATGGTTGCTGTTGGAACAACTTCTAATTGTTACAGCAGTTGAGCGACTACCTTAATTGGAGATCAGCATTTTTATGGTGCCGGCTTCACATAGGGTCCACTTGTATGTTGTATCAGTAGGGCACATGTATGCTATATGTCAGGGCATTCTTTCTCTTTTCATTTTATTTTGGGTTCAGGGAAATAGGTTGTACTGATTGGATGGAGAAAAGGTGGAGACTCTCATTCCAGCGTTCCTCTTCTACTTCATTATTTGTTTTGTCGTGGAAGGGGACTGTAGAGTAAACATGTTCGAGCAGGCTTAGGGGAAGGTGTAGCATTGCCCTTTTTTCTTTCTTTTTTTTTTTTTTCCTCGTATACTTTATAATTTTATGTGGACCCAAATTAAGCAGTACAACAGATACATGTTCTGTCCATGGGAGATGAAATCAGTGCACAATTTACTCATGTTGTGTCTGAATGATTACTTATGTTGAACTGCTCCATAACTCAGGTGAGTTCTGCCGATTAGTACTTTGTTAGTCATCTTATTTGGTTCATAGGGTTGGCTAGACTATTGTTTCCCCAGAGATTTTCGGTTTGTAATATAGGCTAGGTAAGGTATATGCTGTTTTGTTGTTAGTGTTGCAATTTCAGTGATAATGATGCTTTGCATTCATGGTGATTAAGAAGGCTGTAATTAAAGCGACGTGACGCACCATACCTAGCGGAAATAAACCTGCTGTCTCTGAGTGTTAAAAAGGGCTTATTGTCTGTGATTGTGCCGTGATTTAATGATGTGGTTATACTTTTATGTTTACCCAGTATGGAAGAAAGTAATCCTATGATGTGAGCCGAGTAAATAGAAATGAAAAAACCATGTTAACCACCCAAAGCTATGATGTGTGTCTAAGTCAACATAATCATTACCAAATCATGTCTACACCATTGTGGTTTGGTTGGATTGCGCTTAATCTCTTTGAATTTAAGAAATATACACAGCCTCTTAGATTAATAACACGAGAGGTGACGATGCACGTCGAAGGAGAAAATGTCTTTCATTTTCTTTTACTCTTTTTAGCTGGTTTAATTTCCTAAACAAAATAATGA